GTTCGGTTGCCGAACATTCGGTGCATCCCTAAATATAAATTCACGTCTCGCGCACTTTAATGCCCTTTGAATGTAACGTGTACGTTCCCTTGGAACTGGAATCATGGCGGAATTTCATGTGAAGTCGACTTCGCAGGGCACTTACGGTCGAATAAGACCATGCTTGAATGCTGCCTGAACAAGACACCTTACTGAAGTGAAAGTGTTGACTGGTGTCAGTATCCCGCGAATGCGCTGGCGGATCTTCACCAAATTCGGGGGATCCCTTCAGCTCGAGCAGCCCTCTCGAATGCCACCCGCCGCGCGTCAGTAGCCCTCTGGGATCGCTTGATCGTTCAGCGCCGGACCGCGAGTTTAACCACCCGCAACTCCCGAACCCCGGGGGCTATCGACGCGGGGGTGGGCTCATTCGAAAGCGGGCCTCTAGACGTACACTCGATTTGCGTTCGAGAGGGTTCCTCGAGCTGAAGGGATCCCCCGAATTTGGTGCGGATTCACTGCGCCGTTACGGCGATATGGCCGTTCAAAGTTTCAATGGTTTTCCATAGACTTAAGCATTAAAGCGTTTCATCCAGGTCGCCATTAGCAAACAATGGAGCGCGCTCTGCTGGACAAACTAAGTAATTACACCATTTCAAGCATTTTATCTGCTTTATATGTTATGTAAAAAAAATGTTCATGTCGGCGGCATAGTCGCCGATACCGATATATCGGCGACAGGCTCATATCGGCCGATAATATCGGCAAAACGATATATCGGTCGCGCTCTAATTTATATAAATGAAATTAATATTACATAAAATTATTTTTTTTTAAACCACAGCATGGTTAACAAAAGACAGAATTAAATCATTATTACTTTATTGCATTTGCTGCTAGCTATTTTGTATAGATATGTAAAGAGCTACAAAATAGCTGCAACAAATTTTAAAAAAAAATTCCAGCATTGATTGGTCTGGCCATAAAACAGGTAGCGTAATAATTAGTGGCTGTACAGTTACTGTTAGTAGATGGCTCTAATTTCAGGTCTCAAGTACTTTAGGTAATATAGGTGGCTTTCGTTTCACCCCTACAAAATGAAGTACTGGTCTAAAATGGTTCATCCAGAAGTCATTCCTGGCCGTCAGTCCTCTGTGGCATCAGCATAGAGCAGGAATCCAGAGAACGTGCTGTCGTCCTCGCTGCTGGAATAAACACCGTTCCAGTCCCGCAGAGTCTCCAGCCAGACCTGGTCTCCAGATGATAGACGCAGCACTGCCATGTTGGAGGCCTGGTCAATGTCCTGGCCGTAAAGGGAGTCGCGAGTTCGCAGTTTCCGAATGCCGTTCACCACCAGGGCTGCACGCAGGGGGCGATTACGCACTGTTATGTAGTAGGAAAAGACGTAAACTCCCCCATGAGTGCAGTTAAACTTACTGGCGTGGGGGTCCCAGTGACCCTCCTCATTGTAAATTACTTTATCAAACTTGATCGGCAAGCCAGGTGGTGGGAACGATCGGCTGGGAAAGAGACCAGTGCTGAAGGCTGAGCGCTTCTGAACAGCAGGTTCACCCTTAAGGCCCTTGAGTCCCCTAAAACCTCATGCTCCCTTCAGGCCTCGTATGCCTTTCATCCCTGGCATCCCCCTCTGCCCTGGTGGTCCATGGGGTCCTGGAGGACCAGGCTCTCCCTGCTTACCTGGGGGTCCTGGGTCTCCCTTCGGACCCTTAGCCCCAGGAAGCCCATCTGTGCCGTTCAGACTTGGCACACCCATGTCTCCTTTTGGCCTTTGAGGCCCTGGCTCCCCCATACTGCTTTCTGTCCTTTCTCTCCAAATGGACAGTCTCCTTTGTCGCCCTTCTCCCCCTTGATGCCATCTGGTCCGGGGGGGCCAGCTGGTCCTTGTATGCCAGGCTCGCCCGCCTCTCCCTTTGTTCCATTCCAGCCGGGCTCTCCCCTGCCCCCTGGGTCTCCTTTCAGCCCGGTTAAACCTGTGTCTCCTTTGAGGCCCATTTCACCTGCACACATTAACATCGAATGGAATTCGAAATATAAGGCCCGTTCTCAGGAAACTGTTAATGTACAATGGTTTGAAAAAGCTAAGACTTTGATGTCACTACTTTCAAAAATATCGGGGGGAAATGTTGCATTATAACATGGTTAAATAGAAAGTAAGGGACAGATAAAAATTCTAGATTCTCAAAAGCATTTTCTAAAAAAATGTCTACATAATGAAAACAGTATAATAAATGCCAATAGTTATTTACCTCTAACCCTAAAGCTCTACATTATTTCAACCCCATCACAGTCAGTCTATAATTCACATACTTAAATAACTGAGTAAATTCTGATAGTATCGCTTAGTTTCAGAAATTACACATAATTTTAAAAAAAAGGTCGTCACCGTTATTAGGAGATTAGCCATAACAGAGTTGAAATATTG